GCGGGACCCTCGGCGCACCCTTCCCTGGCCTTCGGTCGGGCATGTCCTCCTGCAGGCGGATTCTGGAAGGAAAATCCAGCATAGCCGAAACATGTTCAAAAGTGGTCAGACATCGTCCCCAGACTATTTTGTTAATACTCCCTTTGGGTATTCCTCCTGCGGAGGAACATGCCCGACTTAACCTGGCCCTCGGCTCCGGCCCTCCCCTCCTCCCCCCCGGCGGCAGTACGCGGGCCACGCCGCATCCTCGAGAGCCTCGTCCGTCCTCAGAGTCGGTGCCTCTCGCGTGCCCGACGCTGACTCGATGTGGAGTCGACGTGGGCTCTGACGCGGGTTCGACGCAGATTTGGCGAGCGTGTTCGGATACCGCAGCCTGGGCATCACGGATCCAAGCGTTCCTCGAGCTCGTGTTGTCCGCCGTGCTCGGATGCCGCAGCCCGCGCATCACGGATCCCAAAGCGCCTCCCCTCAGCTCGTGGTGCCCGCTGCGCCCGGATGCCGCAGCCCACACCACACGGATCGGAGCGCTCTCGCTCGGTGCCGGAGGAGGAGGAGGATGAGGGAGGAGGGAGGAGAGAGGAGGAGGGAAGAGGGAGGAGGGAGGATAGAGGAGGAGGGAGGATAGAGGAGGAGGGAGGAGGGAGGGAGGAGGAGGGAGGAGGGCGGAGGGAGGAGGGAGGGAGGAGGGAGGAGGGAGGGCGGAGGGAGGAGGGAGGGAGGGTGCGGGGCAGGGCCCTCGAGGGGCCCTCTATAGGGGCTCCTTTGGGAGCCAGCTGGTGCCCAACAGGGGCCCGACAGGGCCCCATCTGGGGCATCTTGCTTCGCCCCCCCACTTGGGATGCAACTCCTGGGAGGTCAAATTCTGCTGTTGCACTGGTCCGAAGCCCGGCTTAATCCCGCTCAATCTGGCTGAATCCCGCTTGATCCGAGGCCCGCTCCGGCGTAAGAGCTCCCGACCGGGGCTTGCTCCTCCTTCAATGTTTCCGACGAAGACCTCCCAGTAGTTGCCTCCTAACCCCATTGTGGTCCCAGTAGTTGCCTAAATTCTGATGTTGCACTGGTCCAAAGTCCGGCTCAATCCCGCTCACTCTGGCTTAATCCCGCTTGATCCGAGGCCCACTCCAGCGTAACAGCTCCCAAATGAGGCTTGTAGTTGCCTCCTAACCCCATTGTGGTCACCCCCCCACTGCCACCCTCAGCCACGCGCAGAGGGGGGTGGGGGAGGGGGGAGGGCTTCTTAGAAGCACCCCTGCTTCTTAGAAGGCGCGGGCCTTCTGTATAGATGTAAGGCCGGCACCTTCTAAGAAGCAGCCTCCTTCTAAGACGCCCTCCCCCCTCCCCCCACCCCGTGTGTGCGCGCCGCCAACACCCGCCCGATCGTGTCGCCCGCCGTGCTCGGACGCCGCGGTGCGCACGACGGCTCGGAGCGCTCTCTCGAGCCTCGTGGGGCCCGCCTCTCGGTCCAGAGGCAGCGCGGCGGCATGCCGAGGTCGGAAGGGAAAGAAACACACAGAGGAAAGCTAGGCCCGACCAGAGGAAAACTAGGCCCGACCAGAGGAAAACTAGATCCGACCGGGAAAAACTAGGCCCGACCAGAGGAAAACTAGATCCGACCAGGGAAAAACTAGGCCCGACCAGGAGAAAAATAGACCCGACCACAGGAAAGCTAGATCCGACCAGGGAAAAACTAGGCCCGACCACAGGGAAAACTAGACCCGACCAGGGGAAAAACTAGACCCGACCAGGGGAAAACAATTAATCGTCGATTCCCCCGAAATGTGGGAAACTATGGGAAGTGGGGGGGAAGACAAACACCCAGAAAATATTGCAAAATATAGGGGTACTTTGTTATTTGTGTCCATTTGTTTGCGTGTGTCCCAGGGCCCCTTCACAAGGGAGGGCGGGGCGGGGCGGGCGCGGGGGGGGGCGGCCTTCTGCGAAGGCGCGCGGAGCTCCTCAGAAGTTCACGTGGGCCGTTGAAAGCAGGTACTTCTTGGGATTTCCAGGTCCCAGGCTACTTCAAGCGCCTTCCTACCTCAAGAGTCGATGTGCTTCTGCTGCGTTGTGCTCCTCTCTGTGAGGGCCTGGGCCCAATCTACTTTATCCGCCTTCCTTCTTCATGATTCTACCTACTTCTTCCGACTGGCGTGTAAAGGGGCCTTCCCAGCAGGTCCCGGGGGGCTCCTTGGGGTGTGAGGATCAGTCGAGAACCTCCGAGATCCGGCGGCTTTGGAGGAGGTCTCGGGCGCCGCGCCCTTCTCAGAGCGTTCCGCAACGCCCCGGAACGGATTTTGCCTCGTCCTGGCCCCGTCCGAAGGTCGGGCGGATGGTAATGGAGGGTGGCCCATATGGGTGGTGAAGATGAACGCCCCAAAGGGCATGTTGGGGCCCCTTTGGGGCACCAGCTGGCTCCAAAAGGGGCCTGCAAGGGCCCCTTTGGGGGTCTTTCTTTCACCCCCCATATGGGCCACCCCCCATTGCCACCCACCCGACCGTCGGACGGGGCCAGTACGAGGCTAAATCCGTTCCAGGGCGTTCCCGAACGGTCTGAGAAGGCCGCGGCGCCCGAGACATCCTCCAGAGCCGCCTCTGGACTGATTTCTCCTCGTTGTGGCTTCGTCTGACTCCTCGGAAGCCAGGAGGGCTTCGACGGGCGAAGAACGGTGTAAAATACATTGTTTCGCGGTCGAGGGCGCCTGTTCCAGGGCGGCTGGAACGTTTACCCCCTCACGGTGGCACGTCTAGGTATGAATTTTCCAGCCGCCCTGGGGCAGCGCCCCGGGTGACGGAGCAGTTTGTTAAAAAAACCGTTCTTCGCCCGCCAAGGTTAAGTCGGGCCTGGGATATTTTCGACGAAAAAAATAAATATATAAAAAACATGATAAACAATAGTCCAAACATAGTCTGGGGACTATTTGTTTGTATTTTTTTGCCTTTTTGGGGCATTATTGGTGTATTTTTTCGTCGCAAATTCCCCTGTAGGGGGACACGCCCGACATAACGACTTCCGCGGGTTCTCCCCGGCACCCGCCCAGACCCCCCTGGGGAGTCAAGATGCTCTCTTTTGACACTACTAGAAACCTAACAGTCTTCGCTGTGAGGTACATCGTCTGGGGATTATGTTTTGAGTATTTTTGTTGACCTTTTGGGAGTACTTTTTATTTTTCGTCGAAAATCCCCCTGTAGGGGGACACGCCCGACATCACGCCAAGGGCTTGTGAGAGGCCCCTCGCCTTCTCGGCAGCCCCCCCTCCCGCTTGCGTCGGAGGCGGCCCCCGTCGCGCCACCCCGTTGGCGCCCGCCGCCAGAGCAGCACGACCTCCTCCTCCTCCTCCTCTTCCTCCTCCTCCTCCTCCTCCTCCTCCTTCCTCCTCCTCCTCCTCCCTCCTCCCCCCCCTCCTCCTCCTCCGCCTCCTCTCCTCCTCCTCCTCCTCCTCTCCTCCTCCTCCTCCTCCTCCTCCCCCCCTCCTACCTCCCCCCCCTCCTCCTCCTCCTCCTCCTCCTCCTCCTCCTCTCCTCCTCCTATCCTCTCCTCCTCCTCCTCACCTCCTCCTCCTCCCCCTCCACCTCCTCCTCCTCCTCCTCCTCCCCTCCTCTCCCTCCTCCTCCTCCTCTCCCTCCTCCTCCTCCTCCTCCTCCTCCTCCTTCTCCTCCCGCTCCTCTATCCTCGCGCCTGGACCAGAACGCCCGCTTTCATTGTCTTGCGGAGCTGTGTTCTAGAGCTCGGGCCTCTTTATTCTCGTTCGTCGTCGTCGTCGTCGTCGTCGTCGTTCGTTCTCCCCCCCCGGCCACCGAGGGAAACTCCTGGAGGAAGGAGGCGAAAGCCTCCTGTCCCTCGCAGCTCCCTGGTGCAGGAGCCTGGGCACGTGTGCAGCTTGTTGTCCGCGGTGTCCTCGGGACTCAAGAGACGGGGGTCACTGCAAACGGGGGTCAGCCAGAGCGCCAGAGCTTGCAGGATCCTGCAGAGCCTGGGGTGCGTTGACCCAGGCTTGGGTGCAGGATCCTGCAGGATCCTGCAGGATCTTGCAGGGCCTGGCTGACCAGGGTTTGCATTGACCGGGGTCCGTGCATCCCCGATGTCCTCCTTCCTCTTCCCTTCTCTTCGTCCTCCTTTCCCCCCTCCCCGCAGCTTGTGCGCGCAACCTTTTGCTCGCCGATGCGCCGCTCGGGCGCCAGGCTGGACCGACCGGCTGACTGCCATCCTCTCGCGTCGGGACTGCACACGGCGGAAGGTTCTTAGCCGCGCTCGTCTCTGTGGCCAAGGGAGGAAAGAGACCACCCAGACCCGACGATCTGCGTTCACTAGACGGCCCTGGGCGTTTACTAGACAGCCCTGCCCTGTTCGATCTCCCTCCCTTGGTTCTGATGTTCCAGCCTACAGTGCCGTTTTTTATACATGCTCCGCGTGAGGATCATGAATTCAAAATGCACGGAATTAGTATTAAAAACAACGATGAGTTCATGCATAAATTTATTCATAAATTCATCATGTATGACAAAAAATCATATGTATTCAAACCTGCGCTGTGCTTTAGCCTTGATCACCAGACAAAAATTTCGAGCCCCCGAAAAATACCGAGACTCGAGGGTCTTCACGTGCCGGGCCCTGGGAGACACTCGTCCGACGCTGTCTCGGCGCAGCTTCGACACTTGGTGCTCGAGATTAGTTCTGGGATGTGGTCCAAGTGCGATGGCCTTTTTCTTCTGAATTCGGCGCCGTTTCGTAGACGCACTGTAGGGTCGCGCGGCGTCGGCGCTTAGAGCCACCCACGACGAGGCTACGGACCCTACGGCGGCGACCTGAGCGGGGTGGCCGCCCGAGCCCAGCCTGGGCTGCTCCAGCCGACTTTAGCCTTGACCGCCAGAAAAAATTCGCAAGCACCAGACGCGAGATCGCAATTTTTTGGGTGCGTCTACTAAACGGCCTCGCTTGTCGGGGTGACTCTTGCGGGGGTGGACGCTCGCCCTCTGTGGGGGCCCCTCGCCGGGCCCGGGGCCGT